CTACCGCACACCCAGTGCCTCCGTCCCAGGGTGGGTACCACAGGGAGCATCCCGCGGGCCACGGCCCTGGGTGGGCAGAGATGGCTTCGCTTGCTCATTAAGTAAACACTTTCAGGGTTTGCAAACTTTGGGACGTGAATTGCCAGGAATAGCTGTGTGAGGAATGGGAATGTGGTACTTGAGTAAATAATCTGGGATTCCCTGGCCCCGTGCTGGGTTCACCCCGGCTGTGCCTCAGCTCTTTCCAGGAGCAGGTTAATCACCAGGGCTAATGTCTGTCAGTGCCGCCTTTGCTGATTAATGGGATCAAATACTGTACATCAAAAATCCAGCTCATCCTGAATCCAAGTCTGTGCAGTCACAGAGAGACTGCAGGAAGGATGTTAGAGGAGAAAAGCTGGTTTCTAGGAATGTCGCAGCCCGGAGGGCATTTCTGAGCTGCAGGAGAAGCAGCAAAGTGAAACGCTGGGATGATTCCCTCCTTTCTGCTACACTTCCCAGGTGTATTGGAGGGGCACCGAGACCCCCCCACCTTGGAGCACAGGGTGAAATGGCCTTGCAGGACTCAAAAGGGAGAGACATGCAGCACCCCAGGGCTGGTCGCCCACCCAGGAGCACCCATGAGCACCTGGAACCACCGAGGCACGACCCCTGCGCATGGGGTTGGGCGGCATCGCCCCAGGGTCACCAGGCCCGTCGTGCTGCACAAATACAAGTGCACACAGGAGCGTTTCCGCCCGAAATCCTCGGGTCTATCGGCAGCCCCGATGCTGGGCAGCCCCTGCTCTCGCCACCAGCGTGTTTCCTCACCACAGGGGCCCTCTGCGGTCTGTGCTTACCACTCGCTGCTAAGGGACGAGATGGTTGCCAGAAGCCACCCCCAAAGCACGACTGCAGATCCGTGTCTTTGACAGAGGGGATGACAAGGACACAGACTGCTCTGGGCCCTCTCTGCTCCTCCTCCTGACCCTAAAACAAACCTGGCAGCTCACCACGGCCCCCCACACTGGGATTTTCCTGTGCACAGAGCCCAGGGGGAGGATGGAGGGAGGTGATTATTTGCCAGGCACTGGGCATAAAATAAACTGCAGCAAATTAGTGCTACCTGCTGAAGGAGTTGCTCCTGCAAAGGAGACCAGCATTGCCACCTCGTGGGGAGCCCGACAAACACCTCCCTGGGAGGATGCACCTCCTCGGGCAGGCAGGGAGGCAGGAGCAGGTCAGGACCGAGCACCTGAAGATGGACAGAGGCAAGGAGGGTGCAGGGGGCTCAGCCCCGGTGCCCAGCCAAAGCCACCCAAGACTGCAGGTGCCTGCTCTGAATCCTGCCCTGAAGGACAAAAAATTGATGTTAACATTTCCCCGATAGCGTTCAGCCCATCGTCAGCGACGGGCTTAGCTCAGGTGTCTGACACACACTCGCCTCTTTTGGTAGTTTACCAAAGGGGTCCGGTGGCGAGGATACAAACCCCGAGGTATCGTACGGACACCGTGAATCTGCAGCAACGCTGATAAATTGCCTCTTCAGGGCATCCTGGGCATCCTGGCTCAGCCGTGAGACCAGTCTGCCCAGCAGCAGGAAGGCAGGAGGTACCAATGACTCTGTTCGAGTGTTTGGCATTGAATACGATGAAGTCCCTTTGCTGTAGTAAGGACTTTGAAATGCCTCCAGCAGAAAGATGCAGTGTAAATGTCTAATTGCGTCGCTGCTGTCTGGGTACACCACCACGCGGCTGCTAGAGACCGTTCCTTTTCTGGGAGAGAAGGAAAATCTGATCAGAAAAAGAGGAGCGAGGAGAGCCATCGGCTTGCTCATGACGGTTGTGGAGCAAATTCCCATTTTAATGAAAATTTCAGCCAGTTGACTGGCTGATCTGTCACATAGGATGTACAAAAGAGAGAGATGCTTTAGAAACACCGGAGAGACACTGAAATACAGCACCGCAGAATGTCCCTTCTACCTAGTGCAAGATGAACAATTTGCCTTTATCTTAAGTAAAACCCCCAAGAATGATGCAACATCTCAGCCATGTAATGGCTGCCAAGACCCACAGATGGCAGCACACCCAGATGCCAATCATCTGTCAAAAATACATCATATTTCAGAGATGGCTCCCAAAGCAGGGCGGGAACACCTACACAGTGAGAGCCGAGGCCACAGGAGAGCTAAAAGGAGCTGATAAGCTCCAGCATAAATGATCCACAACCCAACAGATGCAACGCTATAGACCCGTGTCTCCCTGGGGACAACGTTCCCGCTCCGTATGCAGCTCTGACTAGCTCCCGGAGGAGAGTTTACGCTCCATCTGGATCTATATGGCTTTTGACCCCATTAACTGTGTCGGAGATTTACTGTTCTTCATACCTGGGGTTTCTGTGTACCTTTAGAACACGTAATACATCTTTGAGCTGAATGTGACGTCCATCTGCCAGCAGCCCCCGCTCTGCATCGTGCTGAGCTGGTGCTGGGAGATGCTTGTCAGTTTGGTGGGGGGGTGGGGAGGGGTGGTTTAGCCACACAGCAGGCACCAGGAGAGTGATAAATGGTTTTTCTTGAGCGGCTCATACTGAACACTGAGACCCAGGCTCCTGGCCCCCAAATTAGGGGTCGGAAACAGAATTAAACACATTTTGATTTCAAAGTACATTCGGTCACGTCTCCATCCACAGGGCTTTGAGGCATGGACCAGACCTGAGATCGCCAATTCCCACTGACCAGCAACCAGGGCCCTGAGGCAATGACCGGCGGCTTCGCCCAGCAGTCCCGGAGCTCTCGGGCAGCACAGGCCATAAGCCAGAAGCTGATGGGGTCCCCAAGGGACCTGGAGGTCACACTTGGGTTCATTGCTCTGCTGAGCCAACTCCTGAAAACACCTTTGTCTCAGCACATTACAAAAGGCCAGAGGCTGCCCCTTTCCGAGCACCGCGACCGGGGTAACTGGGATGTCCCAACCGAGCCAGGCCATCGCGATCCCCCGGCCACAAAGCACAGCCGGGAACCAGGGAGGCGATGAGCCGACGCCAGCCACGCTGCACCGGCCATTCAGGACAGACAGCGGAGAGGGACCGAGTGCACCCTGCAAGGAGGACTTGAGTTTGCCAAGGTCTGACTGTCTGAGTTGAAATACAGGAAGTGCAAGGGGACTTGTTTCACATGTTTAAAGAGAAATAAACCCCCCTTGCTTTTCAGGCAGACTCGGATGACACCTTGAGCGTTTCCCCTTGGCATCACAGAGCCCCCCAGGCTCAAGAACATCGTGTTCTGCAGCTTCTCAGAGCATCTCCCTGCCAAGCAGCTTTGGGAAACGAGTACAGAAGCCGATTTCTGCGTGCATATGGCACTGTACTTGCTTCAAGCGTGGCTGTCATCATGGTGATAGCCAAGTGACAAACACACATCCAACAGGCAAGCTCTCCAGTCTGAGTCTGAGTCTTCTCAGCCCGCAGCTTGTAGAGAAGTCATCCACAAAGCACCCGCAGAGGTGCAGCTGTGGAGCGCGGGGTGGGTAAGCGGGTCTGTGCTGGGCTCAGCGAGGCCAAACCCAGGCTGCGAGGGCCCAGGCAAGGGGACTGGGCTGCGGCAGTGCCACCCCCGGAGCCAGCAGTGTGGGGGACGCCCGTGTGTTTTAATCATGGGGAGATAAAACTGCCTGGCTGGCAGAAGGCCAGGCCCTCTCCACAGGACACAGGCTGGAGAGCAAGCGCCGCGTGCCCCCGTGGGGGCCCCGCGGGCCTCGGCCATGCCTCCATTCGGCCTTCCAGCAGCTTTCGGCCATCGCGCCGTGCTGACA